TATATATATATATATGGATATAGATATATCTATTTTTATTTTCTCCAAATATATATAGATATAAATATAGATATAGATATAGATATATATATATATATATAGACATGTGTTTAGATTCTCTCTCTCTCTCTATGTGTGTGTGTGATTGTTTCCAAAAATTATGTTGGCATAAACGAGTTTATATTGCGGTTGAAACAACTCCTTCACAATTGAAATATTTTCCTTCATTGGTAAGGGTTAGGATTGAGCTATTATTTGTGTTAGCAACAAGTTAAAATTTGTGATTTGTTTGGTAAAATGAATAGTTCAAATTGGTCGTATTCGTGTAAAATAATTCGAGGTCAACTTCAAAACCATCTCATAAACCCAAATTGATGCCTTCAATAACGTTTCATATGTTTCAGGCATTGACGATTGATCAGTCGAAGAATGTGTTCTTGAGTGGAATAACTGTAAAAAATAGTGAAAAGTTTCAGATGTCGATCATGTATAGCCAGGGAATAAGAGTAGAAGGAGCAACAATCACTGCACCATTCAATAGCCCTAACACCGATGGAATCCACATTCACACGACGAGCGGAGCAAGTATCATAAACTCCGCCATCGGCACGGGCGATGATTGCATTTCTTTGGGCACGGGTGCCATCAACATCTGGATCGAGAATATCAGATGCGGGCCCGGCCACGGCATATCCATTGGCAGCCTGGGCGAGACGCCCAGCAGGTCCGCCGTACAAAATGTGACTGTGAGCTCGGTGGTCTTGACCGGAACAGAAAATGGTTTGAGGATCAAAACATGGGCGAAACCCTATAATGGGTTTGTGAGAGGGGTTACTTTCCAACATGCCATAATGAACAATGTAAAGAACCCAATTATTATTGACCAGAATTACTGCCCTAACCATAAAAATTGCCCAAAACAAGTAAGTATGATAGTTTAATGAATGTGACTAATCAGTTCTAATTAGATGACTAATCTATGATTAATCTGGGTTGCAGAACTCGGGGATAAAGATCAGCGGGGTGGTGTTCGACGATGTGAGGGGGTCGTCGGCGACGGCGGTGGCGGTGACGCTCGACTGTAGCCGGAGCAATCCATGCAGTGGGATTGAGCTTAGGGATGTAAGGCTGAGCTATGATGGAGAGGACAAGGCCGAGGCTTTCTGTAGAAATGCGGTGGGGGAGAGCTCTGGGTTGGTAATCCCACCTAGCTGCATCTGAGATTTAGGATTATGAATAATCATAATTATGATAATATCATTATTATTATTACTACCATTATTGAGATAGAGAAGTCTCCGGCTGGCTGGTTAAGGTTTGGTGTGAGCTTGCTACGTTCTGAGAGATGGGGTGTATTTTGTAATTTCATTGATCGATATGGTAATATTATTGAAGTTTGACCTTCTTTTAATTATTTCTCAGTTTCCAGTCTATTTGAGAAAATACTGGTTATACCTTTAGCTTCACCTGAAACAGTCATATTTACATGCATGCCACTGAATTTTTACCAACATAACAAAATTACACCATAACTATATTTTAAAAAGTCAAATTGCCCTTTCATGCATATGTTTATGCCCCAAGGTTTATAAGTATGAATATGAAATATTGAGTGTCAATTTTGTAAATACGTAAGAATTATGTGGTGTTTACGTAATTTTTCCACAATATTAGCATCAAGATTTCATAACAAGCTTTCTATGGGAGTAGTTAAAAACGAAAACCTACCACTTCATCTGCACACAACAATAGAATTTTTTTATGGAGCCGTTGGAAAGAAAAATATGCACACAATAATACAATGTTGTTACTGAAAAAAGAACAAAATCTATCATAATAAGAAAAAGTTTAATAAATTTTATTTGATATTTAAAATATATATATTTTTTTTGACCTAAAAAATGGATCACTCTCTCATTTTAATTTTTATATAAACAATTTTGTGAATGACATTAAGAAAAAAAAAAGTTTTACCATAAAATCATCAGTGGTTGAGATGATGCCAAAAGGCTAGGAGTGCACTAGGGGTGTAAACGAGCTGACTAGAGCTCAAAGCCGCTCTCAACCTGAGCTTGAATTGAATTAATTAATCAAGCTTGAGCTTATTCTTATGAGTTTGGGCCGGCTCATGAGGGAGCTTGTTTTTTATGAAAGATAAAATAATATCAATTCATACTACTTTTATGATAAAATCATAAAGAAAATGATTAATTATGAGATAAATAATAAGAAATCACTTAATATATAATTTAAAATATTTTTATTAAATCATTTTAACAATTAGACAATAAGTTATTGAAATTTTTGAAATTTTGGCTATGTTGTTTTTTTTTTTTAACTATCCGGCTCACTAGCTAACAACTGGAGTTGGGCTAGCTTTTTAGCTTCTCCAGCTTAGTTCATGAGTCACTAATTGAGATACGCTTGAACTGGTTCATGAGTCGGCTTTGCTTAATTACACCCTTAGATTGCGGAAAAATTTTTTGTCCGAACTCTGGACGTATCTCTATGTGTGGAATCCAATAATATGTCGTCACGTGTGCTCCATCGTTGAGATTGTTTTGAGGTTATTCGGAATTATTGAAGTAGAATCGCGGAGGTTATTTCAGGGTTATGTCGAGGATAATGAAAAAAAACTCATATATTCTACTACAATAACTCTGAAATAACACCACAGAGGTTATTTCGGGGTTATTGAAGAGAGACTCATATATTCTACTTCAATAGTCATGAACCACGTAGGTTATTTCGAGGTTATTGAAGAGAATCCCATACATTTCACTTCAATAACCCCGAAATAACACCGCAGAGGTTATTTTGGGGTTATTGAAAAGAAATTCACATTACATTTCAATAACCTCAAAATAACCCTGAATAACCCTGAAATAATATTTCCGGTGTTATTTCGAGATTATTGGAGTGTAATTTATGAGTTTCTCTTCAATAACCCCAAAATAACCTCTGTGGGTTCAGTTCAATAACCCAAAAATAACATCTGCGATGTAGCACACATGGTGACATTTAATGGAGTCCGCACGTCGAGCTATGTCTGGAGTCCGGACAAAAAATTTAACCCTAAATTGCACCATCAAACCTAAAATTTTTCGTAATGAATGCTCGTGCTACTAAAAAGTAAACACCAAATAAATTAAATTAAGATCAGAGTAACACATCATACTTTATACGCATAAATAAATAGATATTATGATTTTGAATTAAAAAAAAACATTATAAGACAAAAAATATCAAGAAGAATCTAAATTTTTTTTAATTTACTTTATAAATAATATTAAGGGCCATTTACTTGCATAGCATCGAATTCCAAAATTATTTCACATCTAACACCTAAACTTTATTTTTTACATTTATACCACACAAATTTTTCATACCATATCAAAAATACCACAATTTTAGTCTTAAAAAAATGAATACGCATCATGCAGTAGTAATGTTTGCAAAAATTAATGTTTAGGTGATAGAATTGAATGGTATTGTATGACTATATCTCAACTAAACGAATCTCGGGGGAAAATGTAGATACATAACAAAGTGGGACCCACGGTCAAGTCACACAAGAGTCTGTCAAATGTTAATTAGTTCTCTCGAATGTCACATAGTGATTTTGAGCCAAGAAACAAGGGACTTCAAAGATCCTAACAAGTTGTTGCCATCTATTAATATGTTGATTGACACATGTAGATGAAAGAAGGATCAATTCACATCTTGCTGGACGAAAGACAACTCTATGACGGACCAAACGAAGAACAACTATAGCGAGATGAACGAAGGATGGCTCATCGCCATACAAACTAAAGAGATGGATTGTATGGCAAAGCGGCCAACAAGTTAATTTAGTCCGGAGGCATCTGTGTCATTCTCACATGACTCAGCTCGCTATCATCAAGCGAATGACCACGAACAGACAATCAAAAATCATCATAATTGGCTAGCAAACTCTTTCTTAATATATTTTTAATTGTTTCTATATTGTACAAATGACCTTAATATCCCTAAGCCTCTTTGTGTATGCAAGGAACTTAAACGTAATTATGTACTTACTCCAGACATCCCCTATACCTATAAAGAGGAGACCATTTCATGATAAAAAGGTTAGATGCTTTATTTTCTATTATTCATTTCCTCTTTGCTTCTTATCCTCTTCCGACCTCACGCTCTATTCCTTGGGTTTGATTCTGCGGATACTTATAGGTTTAACATCCTAAAATGTGTGGTGAGTGTGGAATCTTGCCACTCACAAGAAGAAGAGCACAACGCCATAACAAAACCTTTCAATTAGCGCAAAAAAATAGTGCCGACAAGCACAACGCCATAACAAAACCTTTCAATTAGCGCAGAGCCATGCAATGGATGTGAATAACACGAGAGAGATTGTGGGGCAACAGTTAATGGAGATGAAAGAACAATTGATAATAGAGATGAGAGAGCATATGGTAGGTGCTTTTCAAAAAACTCTAGCTAGAGGAAGCCAAAATCGACAGAGTCAGAACCCCCAATAATATAGCTTCCAAGGGCTTGATCATGGACCAACAACCAATAATATGTGAAATGAACCAGTACCCAACAATCAAAATTCTCAACCAGTAGAAGAAAGGGATGAAGATTTCTATTATCATATAGTGTTGGATCAACCCCCATGAAAGGACAATGCAAAATGTGAACCACAGTCGTTTGTCATGCTGAAAATGCCTCTTCTCAACAAATTTCTAAAACCGAACCCCAGAAGTGTGAAACCCCTAAGCTTGATTTGTATAAGGCTCTCACCAGCCTAGCTAATCATGTAGCCACTTTCAGGTCGGTGGTCGCTATATTAAAAATCACTGACACATTCAAGTGTCGCTTGTTCCTTACCACGTTGAGGGAGTCAGTCCTGCTATTCAATGCTCGCCCTACAAAAGTTATTTCCTCTTTCTTCAAATTCAAAAGGTTATTCCTAACCTACTTTGTTAGAGGCAAAAGTCATGAATAAAGTTCCAAGCTCTCTTACAAATCAAGAAAAAAGAAGGAGAGACCCTTCGCTCCTACATTATTAGATTCAGCGGGAAATAGTGGAGATATAGAACCTAGATCCTCTGATCGCACAAACCGCTCTAACACAAGTTATAAAAAACGAACATTCCAAGTATGTTCTACGCCTATGTGAACCAAAATCAATGGTCAAGCTACTAGAAATAACCAACCACCATATCGCTATATAGGAGTATGCCCTTAACGATCGAGAATAAGCCTAGAAAGCAGTCGTCAATGCTCAATCACAAAAGATACAATTAACAGAAGACAATTGGAGAGATAAAGGTGATCATCACCCTCCCACTCGTGCTTGCTATGAAGACCAGTAGCCACATCATGAAAATAAGAGGAACGCTAAGAGAAACAACCAAGATAGACTATTTCGATACCCTAACCAACGATTGACCGCCATAGCGAAAGACCTCCAGTGCAGCAGGAACCACTCAAAATGAGACCCCCCTGAGAATTTTGATTGTCGAACTCGTAGATCTCAACTTATGAACCTACCATAGAAAAATGCAAACACCTCAAAGTGTCGTCATCTACTTCACATTGACCATCCCTAGTCTCACGAACTAGTTGATGGTGAACTCGGTCTCACACCAGAATTGATTCACCCACTGCGAACTAGTTGATGGTGATGAACTCGGTCTCACACCAGAATTGATTCACCCACTATTCTAAAAGTGCCTTAGATAAAGCTGACGAAGCAACCTTTGTGGATAGCTCATTATTATCCTTGAGCACGATCGAGAGCCATTTTGAAGCCCATGCCAAACTTTCTTCAACTTTAGCAAGGTGAGTCATGGCCTTGTCCGCTCTCCACAAATTTTCCCTAAGACAAGCCTTCACAACTTTTATTTTTTCTTTACCCGAGCTGCTTCAATTGTAGTGTCAAGATATAAGTTGGACAAGTAGTAAGATGATGCACTCCCCAGCAGCTGATACCCATGGACTAGGCGGCATAGTTCCAAAGGGCTGAGGCTATCTAGCTTATCTTTAAAGCTCACCGATCATAATGTGTCTGCAAGCTATGTGGCATGGGAATCAACCCTCAAAGCATGATCAAACCAGTCATGCTGCATGTTAATAAGAGTGAAGCGAGAGTCTCTCAAGAAAAACTCCTTGGGCCCTTCATCCTACATCAAGTTCAATCATTGTTACCTTAGAGGACCGAAGCTAAAGATGAGCCAGCGCCACTCAACAAATCCTTCACCTTCATTATACGAGGCTCCTCAGGGGGCGGAGAACTACTTTTGGGCTTGATGCTAAGGCCCACATTACCATTGATCAGACACAGTCCTTATAGTCATAGTCTA